CCAGCGGACGAAATTGTGACATACACACTCACAGAAGATTTATATATATAAAGATATGACACCACACAAACCTTTGTAAATTATCTAAATCTAAATACTTCAGAGACACTGCTTCCTTAAAAGAAGTAATCTTTATGAAATAAAATAAGTCATTATTCTTGATGTCTTACTTACTTTCTTCGGCACTACAACCCTCTGTGGGTCTTGGCCTCTTCCACAATAGACTGCCATGCGCGACGATCCTTGGCTGTCCTTCTCCAGTTCGTAAAACATTTCAGAGCCTTGAGATCATCTTCGATGCAGTCGCACCATCTCTTTCCCGGCCTTCCTCTAGGTCTCTATTATTAATATTCTTGATGTCTACTAAATAAATATTCTTTTTCAATAGAGACGAAACTGAAAAGTAGCTAAGGGCATTATTTAATATAAATAAATACTTAATAGTACTTACATAATGCATTATTGAGAAAAATGTTCAATATTTTTATTTATAAAGTCTATATAATATATATGTTTACAAATGGTTTATGTATTTTTTATTTATACAGGGTGACTGGTGAGTTACTATCGATATTTGAGGACGTGATATTTGACGATCATATATGACAAAATAAAAATTAATATAACATAAATATTAATAAACTTCTAAGTAAAGTTAACCAAAAGTTATGTAATTAATTACGCATCGTATAAACACCCTACAGATTAGGTATACACACACACACACACACTCGCGCGCGGCGGCGTGGTGTTGTATCAGCACGCCGCCGCGCGCGTCCACACTTGGAACACTTGGAACGTGTACACACTTTATTTCTTTATACGGAAATTTGGTCAAAAATTAAGTACCTATTTTTTTTTACATAATTCGAATGAGAATCATGTATCGAGTATTCTCCTTAAATATTGATAGTAATTCACCAGTCACCCTGTATAATACAGGGCTACGCTATAAACATTTTCTTAATACTATATTGTATTTGTGTGTTTTAGCCAGTTTGCCGATACTTTTAGTGTTAATTATAAAAGTTAATTATACAGGGTGACTGGTGAATTACTATCAATATTTAAGGAGAATACTCGGTACATGATTCTCATTCGAATTATGTAAAAAAAATAGGCACTTAATTTTTGACAAAATTTCCGTCTACATAAGTAAAGTGTTGACACGTTCCAAATGTTCAAGTGTGGACGCGTGCGGCAACGTGCTGATACAACACTACGTCACGACACGCGTATGTGTGAGTGTCAGTGTATACCTAATCTGTAGGGTGTTCACACGATGCGTAATTAATTACATAACTTTTGGTTAACTTTACTTAGAAGTTTATTAATATTTATGTTATATTAATTTTTATTTTGTCATATATGATCGTCAAATATCACGTCCTCAAATATCGATAGTAATTCACCAGTCACCCTGTATATTTGTTGCTGGTGATTTTAAACACAGGTGAGTTTAATAGACAATATAAGTTTTAACTCCGTTAAAACTACAATATACTTATTAAACTTGTTTTCATTTAACAGATGTCGGATATCGGAATGTGATTCCTCAAATGCAACATACTCCGTCCCCTGGTGGCCGAACAACATCGACCCATGTACCAAACCTATTATTCCACCACACTTACCTAACAAGTGGTGTATGCACGAACAGCAGTTTTACGGGGGCTGTAGAAAAATGCACGGATTGGATTTATGAGAACCATGACACTATAATCCTAGAGGTATTTTTGTTTTTGCTCATTCAGTTGTTGGGAAATTCAGCCAGAGCATCAAGGTCGAAAGTGCAAGCATACATTTGACGCTCTGTTAAAGGGATCAGAGCAATATTTGCTGTTTAGTCGGTAGTTCTGGAACTACCCGGGAACATGTAACAATGATTACATCTGATATTCATCATCATCATCATCAGCCTATCAGAGCCCACGGCTGAACAAAGGCCTCTTTCTCACATGGAGAACATTTGAGCATTAATCACCACGCTTGCTCAAGACGGGTTGGTGATTTCAAACTTATAATTGTGAAATTACAAGTCCAGTTTTCCTCACGATGTTTTCCTTCACCGCATGTCAGTGGTATCTAAATACTCTCAGAAAGTACATATCACTTCGAAAAAATACATTGGTACTTGCCAGGTTCGAACCCGCAGCCTCAGCAACGAGAGGCGGGCCCTTTAACTACTAGGCCACCACTTACTGATATGCACCAATAATTAATTAAACAGTTTTGATATATGTATATTTTTTATTCTTTGGAAACTATTTTAAAGTAGAGTGCGTAAGTATCATTAAATAAAATAAACATTAAGAAATAAAAACCGTTCTAAAACATTTAATTTTAATACATCTCAACCTAGCATGTCAACCATGGAAGAAAAATTTGGTGGAATTAGCTTAAATTTTTCTTAACCTAACTTGGGATGGTAAAATTTATTAAGTGAAGCAGAGTTATATTATGATCTTGTTTGAATTCAAAAAGTATTTTGATATTTTTCAGGGTGGTTGAAAATAGCTCTGTTTCTTTTCGGAAAACTGGTGGTATCAGCGTGTTTAACTGGAGTTGTTACTTACACTGTCGAGTTATTTCATACAAGTGTCCGTGGATCGCTAATGGGACTCCGCACTCTGTTCTCTGCTTTGGGGAACATGTTGTCTACAATAACACCGGTTCTGGTAAATACACAGAACTACAAATAAGTAAAATTAAAATAAACTTAATATTGCAAATTTTTTAAATCCATAAACTCAATCATCTACAGAATGTAGAGGAAGGAAAAATATATTACTTGTTTCAATAAAGGCCATAATACGTAATCCCAAAAACATTTTCATTTATTATATAACTATCTTTTGTTTAAGTCTCCAATGCGTCGGTTTGGTCGGGTGTGCGTCATACGTAGCATGCTGTCTTCTGTTCTTCACTCATGAAACAAGAGATTCTTCCCTTCTGGATACAATAGAACAAACCGTCGATAGCAGCAGGCAGACGAGACATGATCAATGAGCCACATTAAGCTATGAATTCAAGTGTAAAAATATTACGGGTTTTCAATAAACGGATTTTTTTAAAGGAAGCTTGTTAATGATACTACTTGTAGCTAATATCGTAATTATCTCAACTAGCCTATTTTTTCACTTTATTATCAGTATTATTATAATAATCACCCCTCATACCTATATTCCTACGCCGAAATGAACTTGAACTCGTGAGGACGATCTAGATGTTCTGCTCGGTAATTAATACTTACTCATATTTGAATTAGAACAGTTCTGTATCTGATCCCAGTAGGCTTATCACAAGTTGGCATCTTCACATTACATACGAAGAATTCACGTTTCTCATTCAGTAATCTACGTTAATACTTATAGTATAGTAATTATATTGTGACGAGATTTAAGTGTGAAAAACTGTTCGACGCTTCGTATGTAGTGTAACCATTCAAGTTTGTTATTGTATACATGGCAATAATTTTATGTCTATGTGTGAAGGTGAATTGTATTCCCCCGCTATTATATAAATAATAATTAATACCTACAAATAAAAACTACAACTGTGATAATCCTAAAATTCATACGGAAGCAGCGCAACGGTACACGGGAAAATTCCAGAACGAAATTGTATGTATGTATATATATTATTTAACACTTTATTGCATAATTTTATAACCGTAATAAAAAAACCTCAGATCATTCATGTCTTGTATTGTATAGAGGCCTCTTCGAAGGTCTTATACCTTCCGCATTCAATAAGTTACTGGGACTTTGATCTATTTAAAATTCAATACTCATCATGTTTCAAATGAACAGAAAGAATTAAGTTAAAAGTTATTAAAATTTCCAGAGTCTACTAAAATGTAACGATAATTCATAACGATTCATACGTATTCTGATAAGAGACATGGTTCTTGATTTTTTAATAATAAAACAGCAGTTAAATATCTGTGTGTAAACTACCACGATTCATCTACATTCTTACATCTTTTTTTACAAAATAATTGTGTTTCACACGCCTTCAAAAGTTTTCAAAAGTCGCCTCGTTATTTCATAAACATAAACAAGCCGGTCATAATTTATTTCAATAATTACATTTCAATGTTATTACTGAAATAATAATCAAATATTTTAGAAAGAATTTTACAAATATATGTACATTGTCAGGTTTTCTGAGCAGACGAATTTATGATTGTGGTTATCATTTCACAAGGAAGTGTACTATTAGTTATGTGATATGTCTGTATTTAAAAACAGATTTGAGTTTTGTTTCTATGTATATATGTAGTTTTAACTATTGCTAAATAAAGATAACATTACCGTTCAGGTAATACATAGTCTTGGAAAATTACAATTAAATATTTTTTTCTCTAACAAAGCGAGTCGTAAATAATTGATACTCTGATAAAGTAATCACACGTTATCTTAGTGAAATACCCAAGGGGGGTTTATGAGCTTAACATTTTGTTTACAAACTTCGTAGACGAAATCTATTTTCTTTCTCGACAAAACAAATTTTGTTAGTAATTATTTTGATAGTAAAATTAAACCAAAAAGTAAATTAAGGTACTTATTATATAATATGATATACTTTTAAACAATCGTACTCACAATTTTAGACACTGTTCCATAATTTATTCGTCGTATTAAATATTTATAATGTACAAGTTTAAAAGACTAAAATGAAACCATCTATGTATAAGAATGTTTAAGAAACATATCTTGTAACAAACGACAAACTAGTCTTCTACCCAGTTATCGCTTTGTTTTTGTCTTATTATGACAAACAATTAATTAAGCCCTAGAAAAATATGCTGTAAGTACACATTTAAATAATGCAAAGTTACTTATATGACGAAATCATGATTTTTGCATTCAGTGGGGTTTTACAGGTGGATAGCTCGTCATGTTTCTTACATGAAACAAAAGTTATTTAATTAATATGGAGACGTAATATTAGTATAAGATATATATTTATAATTGATAAGACATTTAAGATTAGAAATGTGCCTTAGTCGTGAGGTTGTTGGCCCCCAAACGGCCAGTGTTTCGGATATTTTGGTCAAGTTTGGAAGATATCAAATATTGCAATACACTCTGGTCAGTTTACCTATACTTTTTCTATCTATAATTAATGTTAATTATATATTTGTTGCTGGTGATGTCAAATACAGGTGAGTTTAATAGACAATATAATTGTTAACTCGATTAAAACTACAATATATTAAACTTGTTTTCTTTTAACAGATGTCGGATATCGGAATGCGATTCATCAAATGCAACATACTCCGTCCCCTGGTTTCCGAACAACATCGACCCATGCACCAAACCTATTATAAACCACACTTACCTAACAAGTGGTATATGCACGAACAGCAGTTTTACGGGGGCTGTAGAAAAATGCACGGATTGGATTTATGAGAACCATGACACTATAATCCCAGAGGTATATTTTTGTTAGCAATTACGATGGAGGATTGATAGCGAGCTAATTTTTACCTAACCATTTTAATTATTAACACATAAAATACAGCATTGCTACTTCTTTTAAACCACTTATGAATGTTAAAAAAAAATCATTAATAAAATAAGCATTATTTAGATTTTCAAATGGTATTGTTAAATTAATAATTAAAAAGCTAATTAAAAAAGTTGTCGAAAAGAAAATTTTAAACGCTCGGCACAAGAAACTGTTGCGTGAAAAAAAATGTTCATCCTTATTTACTTATGATAAAGATGGTATGACATAATCATTAACATAGTGTCATTGCATTGGAAAAATACTAAATAAATTAAGGATATACAATTTGTATATTTCATCTTCTCATAGATTATAAAGAATAAATAATATATCAAATATGTAAAATAAGGCATCTACATATTACTCATTTTAGTTGATTACCAGTGACTTTTGAGTGTTGCAAACCGTTTTATACTTTACTTTAATAACCTTTCGTTCCCTAAGAAAAGAGATTTTTTTCAATGTCAGATTATCATATCGATTGAGATAAAATTTACAACCGTTTGTTTTGGTATATAAATAAAGTATGCTTTTACCCACTAAAATCTCTAAAATTCGTTAATAGTTCAGTACTCCGCAGGCATCAGTTTGAAATGGGGATGAAACTGTCAAGAATTTTAATGTAAATTATAAAACGTTTAATTATAAATTAATCTAACACCTTTATACTGTTACCGTCATATGGCCAGAGAATATTATGATATGTTTTTATTATATTTCTCGAAATATTTATCTCTTAAATGAATTCAAATTACTCATATCACATTCAGGTATTTCGGATTTACAAAACCACATATAATAATAATTAGTCAAGTTAGACCTTAGTTTTCTTAATATATTTTTAGTCACCATTTCGAAAGGTCTGTTTTACGTATTTTTATATATATAGAAACCTTGAGAAGAATCATATTTTTTTGGTTTCGATGTAGGAAATGTAATGAAAGTTTTTTACGTTTTCCAGCTCAACTTAGCATGTAAACCTTGGAAGAAGAATTTGGTGGGATTAGTCCATAGCGCTGGAATGGCCTTGGCGATGCTTATTGGTGGCGTGATGGCTGATCAGTAAGAAAAATAACTCATTAACTATACCAATTGACTGTCTTCTTAACAAAACTATTAAATATATTTCTTTTCACAGCTTGGGTCGCAAAAATACTTTGATTATTTGCGGTCTAGGATGTTTCATAGGCAACTTCAAGACTCTGGCGTCGAACTATAACTTATATATATTTATAGAGTTTTTAGAAGCTGTAATTTCCGGAGGAGTATACACATCAGGGGCTGTTTTAAGTAAGATGTATAACTTAATTCATTTTACAATCATGCTTACTTTCAATTTATAAATGTGAAATAATATACATTTTATATTTATTATTTCAGTGGTTGAAATTGCGGGCTTAAATAAAAGAGTCCTTGCTGGAGTATTATTCTCATATTCAATATATTCGGGAGAAGCAATATTTGCATTAGTCGGAATGGTAGTGCCGTATTGGAAAACACTAATCTATATAATTTGTTCCCCACCTATAATATTTCTTTCCTACTTTCTAGTAGTAAATGAAAGTCCTCGATGGCTTATCCTAAAGGGAAAAAATGATCAGGCAAAAGAAGTTTTGAAATCAATGGCCAAAAGTAATAAAATTAATATTGATTTTGAAGATTTATATAATATGGATGAAGAGAAACTTAAATCTATGTTCAACCTCGGAGGACCCGTAAAGAAACAAACACTTATTGAGGCCTTCAAGAGCAGAGAAATAGCAATAAGATTTTTAGTTGCAGCTTACTGCAGATTTGCTTGTAGTTTTGTGTATTACGGACTCTTGATTAATTCTGTGGTACTGCCAGGAGACAAATACACAAACTTCTTTTTGGCAGCTATGATGTCATTTCCTGGTGAATTAATAAGTATGTTTCTTATGAATAAAATTGGCAGAAAGTTACCATTGATATTTGGATTTCTATTGGGTGGGATTTCGTGTATCGTATCTGGATATGCCACACAAAGTAAGTTTACTTTTTAACACGCTTTTATTACTGTTGTAAGAACATTTATATTTATTTTTACTTTTATTGAATAATGTTTCTCTTTCTTTAACACTTATTTGAATGATCCCCTTGATTCAACAATTCACTATGTAGTTAATCTAGTTGTAATCTAATTGTCCATTTTGTCCATCTAATCTAGTTGTAATTCGTGAAAGGATATAAATTTTAGAACGTTTCTTACAGCATGGCTGAAAATTTTCCTGTTTTTGTTGGGGAAGCTGGTAGCATCGTCATGTTATACAGGAGTCGTTACTTACACTGTTGAGTTGTTTCCAACAAGCGTTCGTGGATCGCTCATTGGGTTGTGCGCTCTTGCATCAGCATTCGGAAACATGTTGTCTCCTCTTACTCCTGCTTTGGTAAAAAAATAATCTACTATATATGTATATGCGTTTATGCAAAATATTCTACAGCGTAGAAAGATAGATATTTTACATGATTTTTTGGTACTATAACTTTGGCTTGTTATACAAGTCATGTTACAATATCAACGAAGGTAAGAAAATTTGACAGTTTCAAAAAAATGTAATTATTTTGTTTCAGTCTCCCGCCACTGCTTCAATTTTTTTCGGATGCGCGGCGTTCTTAGCAAGCTGTCTTCTGTGCCTCACTCCTGAAACCAAAGACACTCCTCTCCTGGACACTATTGAACAAATTGATAACAAGAAACAGAGGAGTGATAAATAAGAAACAACATCAAACATGACTGATAATATATTAGCACTAAGATTTATTTTTATAAAATAAACAAATTTTCTTCAAAAGTGACTTGGATCTTAATAAATTCAACGAATCTTGTAATTGTTGCAATGAAAATTTATACTATAGTCTTCTTCTTCTACCTGGTAATTTTCCAGCTATAACCAGGGTCTGCCTTACATGTTGTGAATAGTTTTGGATATTTGTTTTTACGACCGGCCTGCCTGACATCAAACCCTCTTTGGGAATCAACATTAATCAGTGATGTCTAAACACTATTAGTAAAGTACATATGACTCGGAAAAATCACATTGGTACTTACTTGCCCGGGCCAGGATCGAACCCGCGCCCTCGTGCATGAGAGGCGGGCCTTTTAACCACTAGGCCGCCACTGACTAATTTATTCTATAGTATTAAGATACATATATTAATAGTTTCAAACTTGAGTATTGACAATTATAAAATGCATCAACAATCATATACTATGTATATATGTAGAACTGTCACATGAATATAAAACCTGTCATGCTTAAAGTATAACCGATATACAGAAATGTTGGAGAAATAAAATCAAATTACACTCAAAAAACAATTCCTACGATAAAATTAGTACCTTTTCATTGATTTACATCGCAGATTAATTAGAGAACATAGTTATGTTTGAAAATATTGTTAAATCCAACAATACTTTAGCAATACCCATCCGTATTCCGTACATAGGTTTTCAATACATTGTAATGGAAAAATCGAGATAAACATTTTCTATTACAAAATTTTCTAATATCATCGTGCAGAATTCAAATGTACAGGCAGACATTGTACTGATGAGAAGATTGGAAAAAAATATGATGTTTATAACACATTAGTAAAATAATTAAACTTCTCAACATTCCATGTATTCACGGTGCGGGAACCTGGTCCATCCTTGCAGGGAGAGGAGCTCCAACAGTGTTTGGGACTTGCGACCCAGGTGTAGGTTTGGGGCCACTATATAACGCGCGTTAAACGCTCATCTCCACCGTCCACGCTACTCTCTATCTTACCAAACTTGAAATTAACCTACTAGCTACTAGCTGTATTAAATATACTATACTAGAAATTACTTAAAAATAAATGGCTTATAATCGAAATTCTCAAAAAAAAACATTTGTAGATAGATATAATACTCTATGATTAATATTTTTCTAACACCGGATGAACGTTTTCAGGTTAAATCGTTTCATGTTTTGTCCTTTAAGATCATGTAATTGAAATCAAAATCTACCAACATCGCACAATATTGTTATTGTATCGCACAGTATTTTATCTAGGCATAATACCAGAAACATTTTAAAGACTGCATAAGACGTGTTTGAATAGTTACAACTTAACTTATGATGATTATAGACCAATAAGTTTAAATATGTAATTCAAAAACATAGCTTTATTTCATCTAAATATACCAAAACTATACCATAGCCTCACACATGAGTTCACATTAAGAAATCGTTCAGAAAAATATACATCTCAGTATACTCTTCCAAATATTTTTGTAAGTAATAAATTTAGCAATTGCAATATTGAATCATTGTCAAGTTGGTACCAACGGTCATACAATTAAAAACACTATTTCAAAGACGCTAACAGAACGCTAATAAGACTAACCAAGCTTGGAAGTAGGAAAAAAATGTGGAATTTCCCCATACTTGAATAAATTATCACAGCTACTTAATTTACCTTGTTATATATTGAATTATTAAAAACGATTATTTTATATAAATATGTTATCTTAAAAATCTCTTAAAAGATTTCGAACGTTTTGTGCGTCTTCTAAACTTAGCCTGATAACCGGTATTGATAAAATCAATGTTAAAAAAATTACTATACCAAGACGGAAAAGGTTCACCTGGTTATGTATTATGTGGTAATGAAATACTTCTTCCGCTATAGTTACTGTCAAATATCTTATACTATTTTATATATACACACGTATATCACAATTACTGTAACACATGTGCGTAATATAAACAGGAAAATGACTTATAATGTTTATAAATGCACATAATCAATTAGTAATATGTACGAAACTTTGTTATACTAGTATTCTGCATAAATTAAATTTACTGGCTATCAAGTTGTTAATATAGATAAATGAAATAATCAAAGGAAGAATAGAGGTTTTATTTTCTATTTTTATGTATTAAAAATTTTTGCTTTGACGAATGACGAAAGATGAACTTATATAGTTTTTAAAGTAATTGAGAAACTAAATTGTCATATAAAAACTTTTCAAATAATAAGTCACTGTATAATATGGTCCACAGCTTTTTTAAAAGCTACTTACAAAATAAATTTTTATATCTTATTTTCAAACTTGACTTCTTTTTTTGATATACTTAATGTATACAATCATTAATTTCTCAATAAAAAAGTAATCTTGATCATAATCGTTTTTAATTAAGAGTACCTATCGTTTTTTGACGTTAAAATTATTTTTTGCGATTCCTCTGAAATATTTTTTTATTTAAAGTATAAATAACATGATTTACTAGGAAAAATATTTCGAAACAGACATCTGTGCTTGGTTGTACAAACTTTACGGTATAACTATGGCGTATGAACACTTAAAACCTTCAAATATTTCACATATTTTTTAGATTAAATGGGTCATGTTTTCGTCTTTTATTATCCACGGCTTTGCGTTCCTTTCATCAATAAAATACCAACACACCAAATTCAAGTCAATTGAAGCCAATTCCAAATAATTAATAAAAATAATTTCAAGGTTAACTGACAGACATACCATATTATATTCTTAGATTTTCATCCGTTATATACATTGTTATTTATAAGGTTATTTCTATATAAATATGGCGCAAAATACATAATACGAGATATAGGTACATTGTAAACATGACTCGGTTAATAGCGAATGCTTAGTTTGCAACGGTATTCAATTAATAATAAAATTGTTTTCATATAAAAGTAGGTATATCATATTGCAAATATTTAATAATTCGTATATTTAAATGTTATATTTCAATATATATATGATTTTTATTTTCATTATCTTCTGTATGAATCTTAAAACTGGATCTATAAAAATACTTGTTAATCCAGCTTCTAAATAATTTATATGTCACACGGTATTACTTTTGGCCGTTCTTTTAATACAACGTTAGAATATCCACACGGGAAGTTATATTTTTAGAGATTTTTCTTGATTCTTAAATGTTTTATCTGTAGTTTTACTAGCCAGCACACAAACATAAATTTATATATGTTTGACTCTTAAAATTCTTATTACTGTAAAGAAGGCCCTTTTAAAAGGTTTTTGGTTAACGTTATAAAATATTATTTATTATATTATATTTCTATAAAATGTATACTTGGGGGAGGCCTATGTTCTGTAGCGGACGTCTTTCGGGTAAAATGATGATGATGAATACTTAAGAAAGAAAACCTTCACAATATAAGTATAGCCTCATAAAAGTTTGAGTTCAGAATGTGCAGCAAGTCCCAAAGAAGTAGTCAAAAACTTAAAGCCGTTTCAAGTCCAGTGGAGTTTCTGTCAAACATTAATTATTACGTATTAATATGGCTGAAACATTTCTAAACTCAATTAAACATAGAGAATTAAATTTGATCACACATCTCTCATGACCATACCTATCCATATAATACACAAACACGTGGATGTCAATTAATTAAATCAAAACATGTTTAAAATGTAAATGTTCTAAAGGATACAATTATATTTTTTTATGACATTTACAAAAAAAAAAATTGCTGTAAATAAAATGAATGGGATCGTCAAAATATTTTCTTTCTTGAAAATATAAATTCCAGGTTACTTTATCATTTAATCTCTTTATTAACCTGAGATTATAATTTGGCAAAATTATATTTAAATAGCATATTTAACTAGTCTCCTGCGACATAATATATATACAAACAAATGTTATTAGATAACGCTTCTCAAACTTGGCCCCTCCTTTATAATAGTTGCCATTTAGTACGGGCCCATAGCGTTTCTGTTTCTCAATTAGTCAACTATTTTGCCGTCTCGACGTGTGTGCATTTATAAAAAAGATCGTGCTGTGTCTGACATAAAATATATATAATAAATAAAACTATATTAAATAAAAATGAAGGATAACACAGAAGTAACAAATGTTGCTGATATATTAGAAAAATTTGGTAAATACCAAATTTTACAGTATTTTTACGCCAGTTTACCGGCTCTTGTTGTGGCTATGATCAATGTTAATTATATATTTGTGGCTGGTGAAGTGAATTATAGGTGAGTTAAAAAATATATGTAATGTTATTTTAATTGTTATAATTAAAACAAAAAATTGTAAAGGTCTTTTAGAATCTATATTTTTTGTATCTATGTAGAAGTATTAGTTACATATTTTTTTGCATCAATATATTCAAATGGAATGCATATAACCTTTACTAACAGTGAAGGAAGTATAAAATATAAATTGACGTATTATTCCTAGAAAAGTTGAATAAAAAAAACAATAAAATTTGAAACTGAATTTATCTTTGCTCCTAAATTTAAATATTTCATATTTAAGAATTTGGTATAAAAAATATTAAACTTTAACCTTAATTTATAAAATCCAAAACCAAGTGATACTTACTTCTCTTCGAAAAAAAAAAAATATTTTTAAAACATCTTTATTCATTCGCTTAAAGCGTGTTCGTTCTCAAATAATTTAGTTCTACTTTTATTATATTGTTATACGACTAAATTCAAGTAAATAAACCGTTTCCATACAAAAAGTATTAAATATCATTAATAAACATTATTATCTGAATTAAAGATGTCGTGTACCAGAATGTGATACATTAAATTCAACATACAATGTAACGTGGTGGCCAGGGAGTGTTGATGAATGCTCTAAACCTGTCTTCAACCAGACCTTGGACAAAGGATTATGTACCAACGATAGTTTTGCTGGATCCAGAGAAAAATGTACGGACTGGATATACGAGAACCATGACACTATTATATCAGAGGTGATTTATAATTCTTAATATATTAACAAAATGAGATCTAAGATTCCCGCAAATATTCATTTAAATGAAACTAATATTATTCGTATTAAAACGCATTATTTATGATTGTTAAAACTACACACTCCCGACGTTTCGATCACTTTGCAGTAACTGTGACCACGGGTAGATGAGATGTTTTTAAAATTATAAAATACGCGTAATAATTCGAAAATTTTAGTTTCATTTAAATACTAACAAAATATAATGATAACTCAAACAATTTGCAATTAAATATTTCTTGCAATTGAATTATAAGTGATTCTTTTTTTTGTCATACATTTGTATATTTCTGTTTTTAACTCTAATATTTTTTTCTGATAAGTATAATATCATTTTAGTTTGATTTAGCGTGTCAGCCATGGAAGAGGACGATGGTTGGCACCATTCATAACATCGGGATGGCTTTAGCTGAAATGGCTGCCGGATGGTTAGCAGACATGTAAGCAATTTTCATTTTAATGGAAACCTTGAAACAGAAATATTGATAGCATTTTAATATAGCTATTTAACACTATTGTATAATGTTAATTCTACATGATAATTGGGTTGTTGCAAAACAGCGTCATTACTTTAAAAACTTATGTATTATGTTGCAAAGATTGCTCTTTAAACTAAACAATTTCCATTGTTTAAAACCGATATAACTTTTTACTTTTGTTATAATATATGGTATAAGGGCAATCAACCTCGTTTCTCAAGCCTTCTATTTGTTTTGATTGTTCTGATAGCGTAATCAAAACAAATGTATGAACGAGTGTAAGTGAATCTTAATCGAAACCAATCAAGGACGAAGCAACAAGATGTTCATTCTTATTAACTGATACCAAGCGATCGTTTCTCATATATACACAATATTAGAGAAACAATATAAAATAAACAGGTCATATTTGAAAAATATAGAACTGAAAGAGGATGAGAGTTTCAAATAAAGGTTTAGATAAAAATAACAACGAAAATCTTTTAATCTTCTTTTCAGTTATGGCCGTAAATTTACAACTGTTATTTGTGCGGTCGGATGCATTATAGGGAATTTCAAAACCCTCGCTCCGAATTACACTACATATGTAAGCATTGAATTTATAGAAGCACTTATTTGTGGAGGAGTTTACACGGCCGGGGGTGTCTTAAGTGAGTACTTTGTCTTTACAACGAAGATGTTCCTAATGTCTCTTTTAACAATTTAACTGTTGCAAAGTCATTTACAAAACAATGTTTGTCAATTTCAGTGCTGGAAATAGCGGGTAGTAATCAGAGATTGCTGGCTGGAGTAGTTTTTGCTTATGCGGTCTACATGGGAGAAGCTATATTCGCATTAATCGGAATGGCAGTACCATATTGGAAATCACTTATCCAGATAATCTGCACGCCCTCTCTACTATTCTTCTTTTACTTCATATCGATACACGAAAGTCCGAGGTGGCTCATTATTAAAGACAGAATTGACGAAGCCAGAGAAATATTGAAGAATATGGTGAAGGCGAACAAATTGAATGTTGATATGGAAGAATTAAATAATATTGACAACGAAAAACTTAAAGCTCTGTATAGTTATGGGGACTCAACAAAGAAACAGGGCTTGAAACAGATATATCAGTGTAAAAAGTTATTGCTGTGGGTGTTAGTCTCATCGTTCTGCAGATTTACTGTCAGTTTCGTTTATTATGGACTGCTCATTAACTCTGTAGAGTTGCCTGGCGATAAATACACAAACTTTTTATTAGCAGCCGTCATGTCATTTCCAGGAGAACTAATATCACTGTTCCTCATGAACAGAATTGGTAGAAAGTTACCGTTAATCATCGGCTTTCTTTTATGTGGAATATCATGTGTTGCTTCGGGATACGTATCAAATGGTAAGCCTGCAAGAATAGCATGATAAATATTTAATCCAAAGAGTCCTCTCTTCAAGTAATTATATCTTTTTCAGAGTACGCCTGGCTGAAAATCTGCCTATTCCTAGTAGGAAAGTTGGTAACAGCGGCCTGTTTCACTGGCACCTTAACCTATTCCATGGAACTTTTCCCCACGAGTGTAAGAGGATCGCTGATTGGTTTATCTACCCTTGCATCCTGTCTCGGAAATATGTTAGCACCACTTACCCCACTCTTGGTAAGAGAACGTAAATCATGATATTTAGAATGTATCCACGACTAGAATTAGGAATAATAAGGATTTAACCGATTTTTTAAACTACTGAAAACTATAAGTCATAGAACATTTTTGAGGGGAAAAATAATTAGAATTTCATATACAAAGAAATGAACTCATGTAAATTTACGCTTCATATATAACTATATATACTTATATATATAAAATAGTGCGTGTAAGTAATGTCTGTCATTTGCTTCAATACAAAAATAAAAAATATTCTTTAAAACTTCATAATCATCTGTCACGTCGTTTTATAATTGCAATAGAAGTAATGGGTTTTTGGCATTACTTGCGGTATATTTATTATAAAATTTTTAAGACTTGTTTCATAAAAACGAAAATAAGACAATACAATAATACAATAATCTTAGAATAAAATCTTATTTGATAAACGCCTACAGCTAGTGAACGTATGAAAAATGCTTGAGGAAGATAAATAAATAATAATCATTACATATAGTACAAGTGCAAAACAAATAACAAATAATTAATTTGTTTCAGACTCCGATGTTGTCATCAATACTATTCGCCAGTTCAGCAGTTATATCCAGTGTACTCCTCATTTTCACTCCGGAGACGAAAGACGCTCCTCTCGTAGACACCATAGAACAAATTAATGATAAATCATTGAGCGACAGAAGAAAACAGAATGAAAATAGTAAAGATAACCCAGAATCTATGAATACGAGGTTTTGAATGGAAAATTTTTGACAATAGCAATAAAATAAACTTCCCTATTTTATTCTTGGAAGTTAGATTAAGTTTGTAAGTGTTACACGACAGTTAGTCCTTTTGTAAATAATGTTAATAACATATTAGTAAGTTTACCTTAAGATATGTGTCGTAAAAATATTGTGACAAAAAACACAAGGATCAAATAATAATAAAATAATTCGAAGATAAAATTATGACATTTTTTTAATCAACAACCCTAACCCTAAATAGATATTAAAGAACAGGAATTAAACATAAAATAATATTGTTATAACAATACTAAATTATAATATAAAGCATTAGATTTTATTATTAAATATGAGTAATAAAATAATAAAGCAAAAATAGTTACAGACGCACACATGACGATGTCAATATAATATATTTGTCTACCCTTATCTCGTTAAAGATTAGTAACGTTTGTCTTTACATAACCACCTTTATGAGTTAAATAAAATAAATAGATCATATAATATAAAAATGATTACAATAACAAAAAATAAATCATAATTCTTATAATAAATCTAATATTATTAAATTCTTTTTGAATAATAATAAAGGCGGTCAGATTACGCTATGTGTGTATTCATCGATTGGTCAGGGGTGGCGTGTTTGAGCGATCATTAACCCAGTTGTAAGTCGACGGCGAGCCAGTACACCATGCAACTACCGGAGCAACCGCCGCCTCCACTCGCTCCTTTATGGGACCGAGTGTTAAGAGCCCGAGCATTACCCCCTGATCTAGACGTACAATTATTGTACATAGCCATCAAAGATCGCCTCTCTCATCCCGAATGGGAGGTTAGATTGCACGCGCTTCGAGTTCTCGCCGATTTATTACCTCTATCTGGAAACGCGTTATCATTCCCGTTCGACCAAGTCATTGATAACTTGGGACATCCCTCCCCTAATGTAAGGAAAGCAGCGTTGGATGCGCTTAAAGTTTTCTGTTCGCATTGCGAGGACCCCGAATGCGCGGCTCGAGCGATAATAGATAAGTTTTCCTACAATAACATAAGACCGTATTCGACTGATTTTGATACAAAAATGAATATTGTTACCGGTTTAATATTATCAATACCGTCTGTTATAAGCATACTGTATAGAAGACAACCAAATTTAGATTTATTTCCAATATTACAAATAGTAGGGGAAAAACTTTTTGATAGTTTACACAAGGATGCTGCTCTGAGATCACTGATGAAATTACGACGGATTTGTGACCAACGACAGCATTTGGCATTATTTTCACAATTGGACTCAAGAATTCAAGAGAGATTCAATTATTTATGTGCTAATTATGACGAGGATTCAGAAGATGTTTATTATCCCACAAGAAAAAGCAACCAGTCGCTTGTTCACTTAAATAGGATTTTTAACAATCCCCATACGAGCCCCATATATCTTTCAACAGATTCAGCATCAGATGATTCTTATAGAATACCCTTTCAAAAAAACAATTATGCTAAAGTCATAATAGAAACAGAAATCAAATTTAATTCGGATACGGCTATCACAATGACGGTCTTAGAACAAAATGATACAGGCCTCGATAAAAATACAGCCAGTGAAGATGATTATGATAGTTCTGATCGCGTAATGTTAAGGTACAGTGACGAAGAGTCGGAAGAAGATTCTGATGTTGTCATAAAAAAAGTGCGTTTTGGTGGTGAAAGCATTAAAATCAGGACTCCAGACAGTGACAACTTAATTAACAGCGAAGAGGATATCAATCATAATGTAACTGAAAATGCAAATAAACCAAATATAGAGCAGCAAAAACCAGAGGCAGCTGTAAATAATAAAACGAGTGATATACAAGAACGAAGAGAGCGGTTAAATTCAAGAAAAAGTGGGATCCCATTACCAGTTATATCGAAAAAATTACAAAAAAACAACACACAAAATAATAGAGTTAAAGTGAAATCTAAATCACTCAGCGAATTATATGATTATTTTAGCAACAAAAATGGATTGGATAGTAAAATGAAAGAAAAATCAGGTTTCGCATTGACCTTGACAGAAGTTAGATCTCCAGAGAAATTACAAAGTCCAGTTGAGACGCACAGAGAAATAGAAGTTATTCATAACTTACAGAGAAGTCCAAGTCCCTCTCCCCGTAGAAACCAGGCTCGTGTGAGTTTTACTCGCGATGGGTATGTGAATTTATTTTAATTATACAAAATTTTATGTTATGGACAAAATGTGTTTTAAATTTTATCATTCACGCATTATTTTTTATTAAAATCTGGTCATGTTATTGTTACTCACCGATACTTTTTATTATAATTTGAAAAACGTCGAGCCTGGGGAATTCCTTAGACTATGCCTAGGATCAATAAGCGTGCTTGTAACACGCGTTCTACTTAAAATTAATAGTTTCTATACAACTTTCATAGAAAACTATCCGAAATATTATTAGCAAAATATGCTTCCCTATTTAATTTTTTACAATAAAACCAATATATTTCAAGTTTAATTTCTAAATTAATTATCTGGTTAGGGTAGCTTAAGGAGGTTTATATTTAGGGTATATAATATTTATATATATACTAGGTTTGTCATGAATCTGCTAGCATCTGCTCCAGACTTCGAGTTATTATCGCCTCGGCCGTTATCATTGCTAAGAAAACACTACAGTTGGGAAGATCTGAACGTACTCCCTCGACATACCATCGATCAGTTACATAATACGGTAAAATTAAACTCTTTTCACTTAAATAATTATTAAAGTTCTGTACTAAAACATTTAATTCCAATTGCGAAATAAGTAATGTTACTTTCATTGATTTATATAAAAGTGCCCGGTCATTGACTGCCGTAATGAAATTCTTATACAGCAAGCGAAATAAAATATAAGTTACAACATATTATTTTGTAGATTTCATGAAAATACCAAACATATTACTATAAAATACCACTAAAAGGGCTAATCTAATAACCTACTTCGGTTAACATTAGCATTTCTCCCTTAATTATATTTTACCTTGGGTCTGATGAATATGTAAAGCAATCCAAACCATGACCTCTATTCCACTATTGGGACCCAAACCGTTTTACAGAAAAATAAAAACCGTACGAAAGGCAAGATTTTCTGATAACAGACAAAATACAACATTGACCTAATTTTGTATAATTCAAAATGGACTTTTTAATGAATTTGTACAATAATTTTTACGTGTTACAATTTCGCAGACATATACTTTTATTAAGATTAGATGCACACACCTCCACTCTAATTCTAAGTTAAGAAAAAGTTTTGTCGTCATATTATTACATGTTTCGTAAATATTTATTTTCAATATTATGTTTGTATTGCCGTTTTTAATTATGTACCAATTTCGAAAAAGTAAGTTCATTAAGTATATGTTTTTACTATACCGCTTTTCTTATCAAAGTATTAAATATAAAGTTTATAAAGTATTATTCATACTCTATATTTATTACTCTTATAGTCAGTGTTGGCCTAGTTGTTAAAAAGCCCGCCTCTCATGCACGAGGGCGCGGGTTCGATCCTGGCCAGTACCAATGTGATTTTTCCGAGTCATATGTATTTTCTAAGAGTATTTAGATATCACTGATTAATGCATTCCCAAAGAGGGGTGATGTCAGGCAGGCGGCCGGTCGTAAAAACAATTATCTAAAACCAGTCACAATATGTAAGGCAGCCCTGTCTAAAGCTGGGAAATTGCCAGGTAGAAGAACAGAACATTCTCTTATACAAGATTTTTTTATACAAAAAAAAAACAAATTCTTTACTGCACCCTTAGTCCTTAACACAAGATTGAAATATAATAGGACATACGTCTTCAGTTTTCAAATCAGTCAACGAAAAATTCAATACGAAACTGAAAACGTTTTGTCATAATAATTAATTCAATTATACAATATTTAATTTTATTCAGAAATAATGCGATAGTTTTAAATTGAACAGGAAAATTGGATAGCGGCTGTAAAAGCTACGGATCAACTCCACAGCACGTTGTTGAATGAAGACAATGTAAAAACAGTTGAGCCAGCAGCTATGTCATTGGTACAACACATGTGGGCGCTAATTGACGAGGTATGAATAAAATTTATCAATTATCTACTAGAGAATTCATTCTATAACGGGAAAATAATAGAATAACTATGTAGAATAGCATATATAATATACCACTTATATTAATAAAGAGTAAAATATTTAATAAATAAATAAAAATTATGTACCATGCAGGGCTTTAGACGTGTTTTTAATACTAAATACATATGTTCTCTTATTTTTTTTACATTCAGAATACATACCTAGATGCATTTTTTAAAATTCTTTACTAGGTTCATAATAACCATCTATTCTTATACTGTAACTTTCATAAGTTTAATATTGTCACTTGTTTAATTTAGGTGTCATATGTCTAACATCATATAACTCTCCGAACTTAATTCGTAAATAAATATGTACATGGAAATGAAATTGTTGCTTGTAATAGTTATATAAACGTTTTTCACTAATGCGTAAGGCTTATCATATATGCTAACATGTACATAGTTTTTTCCATGTTTGTTTTCTTGTTTGTTACGGCTAATCTCTGAAAGTGCTTGCCAGATTTGGTAGAAATTTTTCAGGCATAAATCTTGTGTAATATGGTGAAACTACGTTTACTTTTAGACATTATTATTATTTTTATTAAAGTAAATAATATAACAGTGACTAATAGTCTAATCTATAATTTCGATTTTACCAAGGTGCCGGCCTCCCGTGCCCCGGCAGAGGGTGCTATATGCGCGGTGGTACGCTCAGCTAGTTCCGACTGTATAAGAAAGATACTACCCTCATTAATATCGAGACTCTCAAAGGAAACACCACCAGCAGCTCTACCACATGCGCTGTTACAACGGATAGCCCTTCATCATTTAGTTGAACTGATATTTGAACCTAATATTTTTGAGGTACAACCACAATATATCATATAAGGCTGTTCCTTTTAATCACCTCAATTCTG